GGCCCGATGGGAATTTTAAAGGGGATGTTATCTTCCGAAATTTCGAGTTGGTTTCGTTGCAATTTTTGCTTCCCTTTGCAAATTTTTCAGGGGAGGTTCTTTACGACTTCTGCAAAAAGATTTTGTTCCTTTTGCAATTTTCGGGGAGGTTTCTCTTTGCTTACTGCGAAATATTCGAGTGTTCCCTTTGAAATTTTTTAGGGGGGGTTACTCTTCTGATTTAGACGAATATTGGGGTGGCTTCCGCGTTGCAATTTTCAAGGGAGGTTACTCTATCCAACCTGATTAAGAAAGGTAAGAATGGCTTCCCTTTGCAATTTTCAAGGGAGGTAACTTTATCCGACTTTATTAAGAAAGGTAAGAGTGGCTTCCCTGTGCAATTTCCAAGGGAGGTTACTCTATTTGACCTAATTAAGAAAGGTAAGATTGTATTCCCTTTGCAATATTCAAGTGAGGTTACTCTATCCGACCTAATTAAGACAGGTAATAGTGGTTTCTATTTGCAATTTTCAAGGGAGGTTATTCTATTCTATTCGATTTTATTAAGAAAGGTAAGAGTAGCTTCCCTTTGCAATATTCAATAGAGGTTACTCTAACCGACTGAATTAAGAAAGGTAATAGTGGCTCCCCTTTGCAATTTTCAAGGGAGGTTACTCTATCCGACCTTATTAAGAATGGTAAGAGTGGCTTCCCTTTGCAATTTTCAAGGGAGGTTACTGACTTAATTACGAAAGGTTAAAGTAGTTTCCCTTTGTCATTATCAAGGGAGGTTACTCTATCTGACTTAAAAACAAAATGCATGAGTGGTTTCCCTTTGCAATTTTCAGGGGAGTTTACTCTTTCCGACTTAATTAGAAAGGTAAATGTGGGTTTCCTTTGCAATTTTCAAGGGAGGTTATTCTATCTGACATAATAACGCAAGGTAAGATTGATTTCCTTTTGCAATATCCAAAGCAGGTAAATTTATTAGTTTTATGAAAGGAAAGAGTGGTTTTCCTTTGTAATTTTCAAGGGAGGTTACAGACTTAATTACGAAAGGTAAGAGTGGTTTCTATTTTGCAATTTTCAAGGGAGGTTACTCTGACATCTGCTATCGTGAAGTCCTCTTCTTAATACAAATCTTATTGCAATTTTCAAGGGAGGTTACTTACTTAATTACGAAAGTTAAGAGTGGTGTCCCTTTGCAATTATCAAGGGGGGGGGGGGTTATTTTATCTGACTGAATTACGAAAGGTAAGAGTGATGTCGCGTTGCAATTTTCAAGGAAGTCACTCTATCTGACTTAATTAGAAAAGGTAAGAGTGGTTTCCCTTTGCAATTTTCAAGGGAGTTTACTCTATCCGACTTAATTAGAAAGGTAAGTGTGGTTTTCATTTGCAATATTCAAGAGATATTACTCTATCTGACTTAATAACAAAAGGTTAGAGTGGTTTCCCTTTGCAATTTTTAAGGGAGTCTACTCTATCCGACTTAATTAGAAAGGTAAATGTGGGTTTCCTTTGCAATTTTAAAGGGAGGTTACTCTATCTGACATAATTACGCAAGGTAAGATTGATTTCCTTTTGCAATATCCAAAGGAGGTTAATTTATTAGTTTTTTGAAAGGTAATAGTGGTTTTCCTTTGCAATTTTCAAGGGAGATTACAGCCTTAATTTCGAAAGGTAAGATCGGTTTCTATTTTGCAATTTTCTGCTATCGTGAAGTCCCCTTCTTATTATAAATGCCTTCAATCGCCCATAGGGAAATAACTCTGGGAAAATCTAAGATCTGCAAGAGTGAAATCCCGTTGTTATTGCAAATGGTGCCATGGTCCAAAGGGAAATAACTTTTACGAACAAAATACGGTCTGCTAGAGTGAAATCCCCTGCTTGTTGCAAATGGCGTCAGTGGCCCCAGCACACCTCCAGATTCAAGCTAATTTTTATGAATTTTTTTAAATGTATCTTGAAGTATAATTTTGTAAAGTGATCAAAAGGAAACAATTTAAACATTATCAATGGCACTTCCCAAGGGGAACGTAAGTTCCCCCGAAGAAGCCCAAAATATGAAAAATTTTACCCCCTAACTATGAAAAGGAAAGCAGTAAAATTTAATATTTTATACAGAAAAATCAGCCCAAAAAATTGCCCCCATTATTTACTTTTTTACTATTCAGTTTACTTCTCAACTATTCCGTTTTCTTCTCCGCTATTCCATTAACTTCCCTACCATTGCGTTTACTTCTTCACTATTCCTTTACATCTTCACTGATCGGTTTACTTATCCACTATTCCGTTTACTTCTTAACTATTCCGTTTTCTTCTCCGCTGTATCATTTACTTCCCCTCCATTGCGTTTACTTCTCCACTTTTCCTTTTACATCTTCACTGTTCGGTTTACTTCTCCACTATTCCGTTTACTTCTCAACTTTTCCCTTTTTTTCTCCGCTATACCATTTACTTCCCAACCATTGCGTTTACTTCTCCACCATTGCATTCTCTTCTCCACTATTTCTCTTTTACATCTTCACTGTTTGGTTTACCTATCCACTATTAAGTTTATTTATCCCATATTCTGTTTACTCTCTACGTGCCGCCTCCGTGGTCGAGGGGCTAGAGCCGATGACTTCTAATCCAGTTACCTCTCTGGCGTGGGTTCGATCCACGGGAGATGCTTTGGTAGCTTAGCGCGGGGGAAGGTTGCCTAGTACTGGTGTAACTCTACAGGAACGATGGTTAGGAAACTACCCGCCTATATGACTGAAATACTGTTGGGTAAAGGCGTTAAATGAAACAAACAAACAAACAAACAAACGATTCTCTACTTTTAAGTTTACTTCTCCAATATTCGTTTTACTTCACCACTATTCCATGTACTTCACCATCCATTTTTTAAATCTCCATTATTAAGTTTACTACTTCACTATTCCGTTTACTTATCCTTTTCTTCTCCACTATTCCGTTTACTTCTCCACTATTTAGTTTACTTCTCTACTTTTCTTTTTACTTCTCCACTATTCCGTTTACCTCTCTGCTATTCCGTTAACTTCTCCACCATTGCATTTACTTCTCTACTATTCCTTTTACATCATCACTGTTGGGTTTACTTCTTCACTATTTAGTTTATTTGTTCCCCACTCTGTATACTTCTCCACTACTCAATTTTGCGTTTCCACTATTCAGTTTACTTCTACACTTTTCCCTTAAATTGTCCACTGTTTGGTTTACTTCTCCACTTTTCAGTTTACTTTATCCACTATTCAGTTAACTTCTCCACTATTCCCTTAACTTCTCCCCAATACCGTTTACTTCTCCACTATTCAGTTTACTTCTCCACTTTTCCTTTTATATCTCCACTGTTCGGTTTACTTCTTCACTATTCAGTTTACTTCTCCACTACTGCTTTTACTTTTCCACTTAAATTCAGTTTACTTCCCCGCCATTTCGTATCTTATTTTACTAGTATTTGTTTACTTTCATATTTTCCAGCATTAATAAATTTATTATATGTGTTTTGAATTCATGATACTGTAAGATGCTGATTAATTAATTATTTATTTTGCATATATTCAACATGATAATTCGTTATCAACAGGCTCACAATGACAACAAAGTCATGTGATAGTTTTGTGTTCTGAAATACAGTTTGAATAATCAATAAGGAGATTGGTTTGTTTGTTTTGGGTTTTACGTCACATCGACACAGTATAGGTCATATCGCGACGTTCCAGCTTTACTGGTGCAGGAAGATCTCGGGTGCCTTTCCGTGCATTATTTCATGCACGAACGGGCACCTAAGTAGAACCACGGACGTTCCGTAAGCTGGCTGCATAGCTTCCTCACATGAAAGAATCCAAAGTCCCTGTCGGGATTCGAACCCTCAGCGGCGAGGGGCAAGTAGGTCAATAAGGAGTATCAATTACATGTTGACCTAAAGTATGTTAAAGTTTTGATTATCATAAAGTATTAAAATCTTTCCATAAGTCATTACACTAAATACATAATAAAATGGCAGTGGAGAGCCTAGGCTAAACATTCACAACTTGGGGAGAACTTACGTTATGTTTTATTAAATTTATTTATTAGAAATGTACGCATTTTGCTCAGAAGAAAATGTTGAAAATAGTAAAACATCAAAGGCTTACTAGAAAGTTATCATATTGTATGTTAGTTCTGGCCTCCAAAACTTTGTAAGCCGCTATTTAACATTTTGTTTTCAGTTTTTCATCTGAAGCGGCATTATACATAGTATATGAAGACCTTAAGCTAATTGTATGTTTGATGAACATGAAATAAAGAAATAAAAATAAAATGGGTATATCTATTTGGTAAATGAGAACGACAACAACCGATGAATATAATTAAAAAAGAATATTTGTACTATTTATGCTTATTTAGTAAGAAAATTTAACGACTGAATGAAATTACTAACTTAGACATATTTTTTTAAATTTATACCCAAAAGTTTCCACACTCTCTTTCCCATTCAGCAGACTGACATAAATATTGTTTTTTATATATATATATATTTCTATTTGTTTTAAATACATTGTGTGTTAGCTATGTTTAAAGGGACTCCACTAAGGTTTAAAAGCCTAAAAAACATAACATTTGATTTTCTTACATAAATGAGCTGGGGCACTTTAAACAGAAATATACGCGAAGATAGTTAAGAAATATACTTTAAAATAAATTGAAAATCGTATGTTTATGCTTTTCTTAGCCCGATTTGAGTGAAAAGTGTTTAAACGCTTTTCATTTTGGGTCATTCTTTTACACGAAGTGCGCGAAATTCAGACTCAATGATTATTCATTATCTTTTTGTTAATTTTCATTCATGGTGTCGCCGAACTGTGGTATTTTAAAGATATATTGATTTAATGCCGGCGATATTAAAGTCTCGTTCTTATATTCAATAAAATAAACGCTTTAAAGTAATTGTCCTATATACTTGGCCGATTTTTATACAATAAAGTCACAAGGTAGTTCGAACGTGATTTGAATAATCAATATCATATCAATTACATGTTAACCTAAAGTATAAAAACCTTTTCATAATTACATTGGAGACATACTAAGATGGCCGCAGAGAGCCCAGGATAAACATTAAAACCTAGGGGAAACTTACGGTAAGCTTTAGTTAATTTATTTATCAGAAAACCACACATTATATGATGAAGAAAATGTTAAAAAATATGGAAAAATGACAAGCTTACTTGAGAGTTAACAAAAAAAAGAAGAGACGTAATTGAGAGACGTAAATAAGGTTGCTATATCTAGATAGTACTAGATTGTGACAATAACCGATTAACGATTTCAATTATAAACGAATCATATGTATTTTTATACTTATGTTTTAAGTAACGTTAGTCACTTATTTCTAAATTAACCTACTAAATGTGTCAAGGTAGACTTGACATGTTCCTTAAAGTCTATCCATACATATCTTGGTTGCATTAGCTATACGAGCTTTGTTGTTTGATGATATTGGTTACAAACAATTGCATATGACATTATACCGGTGAATATCACTTCATATTCAATAGACGTTATACGGAACTCAACAAAGTGGATTTCCCACCTAATCTGTAGGTACAAACTAACTTTTACCTTTATAGCTTCACGGTGCACTTCCTGTCAACCTGTTAGCTGGTACTGTAAAAGTTTTTTGTACCTACGTTATTAGCTAGGAAAAGTTAGGAAAATCCCAAATATTCTAAATTTCGCAGTATAAGTCTATTGATAAATAGTAAATAATTGTAAAGTATTACGAATACGAAAAGTTTATTTGTATAAAGCATAGTACAATGCTTATAACCAGTATAAATTGTAATGTATACAATGTTTTGAGATCAAAACATGGATTTTTACAGCAATCATAAAATGATTCATGAAATATGATGTTCAATATTCAAATTTTAATATGTTTAATATATATTGCGCTTGTATGCATAAAAAAACAGGCGCCAACCTACAATATTCTTAATCTGCACTTATTCTATCATTTTCCGAAATATAAAGACATGAAAAACACCCGAGTCCTATAGACTAAAAGTAATATTTATTGTTGTAATTCTGTCCTTTTTGAAAGAAATACATGCAAACGCAAACTTCGCAAGCCATAAATTATGTTTCAAAAACAATATTTCATTTGAAGGTATTACTATAAGAGAAATAATGAAATGCGTTGTCTATTTGCTAAGTAAATAAATTTAGATAAAGCATATATAGTTTTCTTAGAATTAGAAGACATTAGGCTATCAAATTTTATAACAGACTGCAAATGACATTTATAGGGTTTGCAAAACCTTTTCCTCAATTCTCTATAACGCGAATATACTAACATAAAATGATATTCGGTTTCAGGTTGGCTCATTATACAAGATTTACATATTTTTTCTGATCTTGGTTTGTTTTAATTTTAACCAGACACATAAGTTATGTGATGACATTCTTAATTTTGCAAGAGCAATTCTATGATTTTTGCCTGTGATTAAATAAAAAAACTTTTCACATTTAAAATCATGTTTATAAATGCTATAAGTTTGTAGGAGACTAGAGTTGTTTATATCAATATACCATTTGTGTAAAAAAGTATCTATAGTTCTTTGTTTGATAATAACAAAAGTGATATCTTGATCCATACATACGCTAAACCATGGGTTGTCAAAGCAAAAAGCCAAGTTTTTCTAGTTATATGTATTCCATCAATATCTTGCTTAAGCATTTAACATTTTTTAACAATCTCTGTATCATCAAGCTTAGAAATTTTCACCAAAAAATTAATCATCTTAATTTGTCTCATCACAGAAAAAGGGTAACGGCCTAAGTCAGATGCTAGTTGATTTTCGAACGCATAAAAGTCGTCTCAAAAATGTCGATTCTGTTCGCTATCAGTTTCTCTACTTGTTATAGGGTTTGTAAGTGAACAGCATGAATCCTGATCAGACTGCGCTGATGCCATGCTGGTCGCAAACGCACTATGTTGGTTTTGTCGTGACGCGGCTCAATTATCTTCTTTTATTAAGTTATCTCAGTAATCTCAATTCTAAATGAAAATGATCATCTGTTTTCAACATTTATTTTCTTATCTTTTGAAAGAATTCAATAAAGAAAAGATTGTTGTTTATTAAATGCATAAATTTTCTATGATCTATTGAGCATCTTTTTTAAAGATTATTATCCCTGTTGAACTCCGGTGTTTACTCCATTCAATAGAACAGAGATAAAAATAAGCGCAATACACGTATATTGTTTGATACTATTTCCAATATCTAATATCTACCACAAATTAGTTTTTACTTTTAAAAATAGTTTATTTATTTGACATAGATTTGACTCGGAGTCTGGTACAATCTTTTGGTGCCGCTAATCTTGATAATGGAGATTCAGACATGGAACTAACATAGAATGCATACATGTTATCTGTTTGGTGGCCGACTTATAACTGTTTCATATCAGTCATCAACGATATACGATGTATATATTTTTATGTATAAGCCATTTTTATAATTAGATAATGAACTTGTAAAAAATCACGCGGACAAAGAAATTCAATGATACATGTTTTAAATTATCTAAACGAGTTGTGGTAGAAATTTAAGATAAGTGGTTTTTTGTGTGTCTGCAAACTTTAGTCTATTTCAACAAAAAGAAATTACCTATATCAATAATAAAGCGTTTGTACGTTTTAAAAATAATTAGTAGATCTATAATAACTATGTCTATTAAATAAAAATCGGTAACCAAATGTATAAATAGAATACCCGGGTGTAATACGACACCATATCTATACAGAAGAAGACTTTTTAAACCAATCGGAGTTCCCGTAGAAGTTATATTATCAAAATTCTAATAAAGGAGGCTACATATATTTAATAGTCAATATATTAATAATTCAATATAAGTATTTTCCATTAATTTTACAAACCCTTATTAACAATGATATTCCAAAATCTAAATGCTAATCCTTGAACAAAAACTTTTTCATTCTACTGTATATAAAAACAAAGCGTCCTGCTGCCTAACACGTTACAATAAATTGATCGAAAGTGTAAAACATAAAAAAGGACTTCTTAGCGGAAAATATTGTTTCGACCAGGGTGCAACTTACGACCAGATAAAATACAACATAAAATATATTCAATTGACTTCCATAAATTATCTTTCATTACCTTTTTTAATTAAAGGGAAGTAAATGCAACTATATATGTCATGTAAAGTTATTTATATTACCTCCCCTCATCTTCCAGTGCCCTTTATTATATTGTATAGAGCATTATCCGTCGAATTTCTTTTTTATTCTCTATCTTGTTGTTGCTAAGCACCAGACCTCTTCTTTAATACCTTGAAAACGATTTGCATGTTTACTGAAACAGTATATTAATCAGTTCGATACTTTTCATGCACCATGTATCATGTATCCAGAACCTAAACTCTAATTGGTGATCACCAACGTGCCACAAAGCCTAGTTGTGCATAGTAAATTAACTTTATCCAAGGCATCCTTCGTCTTAAAAACCACTTGGAAAATTTCAGTAAACCTTTGTAAAATTGTTTGCATGGTTTCATGATTTTCCAAGTCTATTTTCCAAGTCTAGTTGTGCATTGTGCCATGCTTTTGTGTATGATTTCTTTTCTTTTTTCCGCACAGTTATAGGCCCTTGATGATGATTACTTTAGTAAAATGTATTTCTCCTACACTTCTAATGGAATTTTGATTAAATTTTGGGAATGATATTTATCAAAGGCGGTCGGAGGTATATTACCAGTATTTTGGCATATATGTTGGATTTATTGTCAAAGCTTCCTTTCAGTGACAGCAGTTTCAGTCGCAGCTCTTGGGCACGAAAGACAATGTTATAAAACTGATTTCTTTTCAACAGCCGAAGAAGGACTTCGATATAACTTCTGAACGCTTTGCAGAAATTCTGAGACAAATCAAGAAAGAAATGGGAAACGTTTTCAAATCAGTAGAAAATGCTGCAACTAAATATGATGATCCGAAGAAAAAGCAAAAAGAAGACATTGAAACCAAGATGTCTACAGAAAAGTTGGAAAAGCCTGAAATTGAAAAAGAATTTGCAGAAGTACAGAAAACAATTACAGAATTTGAGCAAACCAAATTGAAAAAGAAACCTACTGTTCTAGAGACACTTGCTTCAGAGCAGAAAGAGGTAAAACAACTTTCATTTTGTTTGCTAACTAAATGATGTATTTTACATATATTATATGATATATCTGCATCTTTGCATTAAAAAATAAAGAAATGATAATTGTAAAAAAATAACTTTTTGATTTAAGTTCTGGTGGCATAATCTTTAAGTATTGTAGCCATTTAACTGTAAAGCAACCAGGTTCATCCCATGTTCAATGGGTATGAAATGATATGGCTATAATTATCAGCTGCAAAAATTGTTTTAATCTTCCAAAATGCGCATATGATAAAAAATGTTTAAGTATATTTCCCTTACAGCATATGGCACATGCAGGAACTCTTTGCATGAAAACTTAAACTCGAAGCTGTTCTTGCTCATGGTGAAGGTCACACTAAATGGTTAAATATTAGCTGTGCTTGGTCATGGTGAAGGTCACACTAAAAGATTAAATATAAACTGTGCTTGCTCATGGTGAAAGTCTCACTAAAAGGTAAAATATAAGCTGTGCTTGCTCCTGGTGAAGGTCACACTTAAATGTTATATGCAAGCTGTTCTTGCTCATGGTGGAGATCACACTAAAAGGTAAAATATAAGCTGTGGTTGCTCATGGTGTAGATCAAACTAAAAGGTAAAATATACATGTAAGCTGTGCTTGCTCCTGGTGAATGTTAGCTCTGCTTGGTCAAAGTGAATGTCTCACTTAAAGGTTAAATGTTAGCTCTGCTTGGACAAGGTGAATGTCACACTTAAAGGTTAAATGTTAACTGGACTTGCTCATGTTGAAGGTCATACTTTAAAGTGAAATGTAAGCGTTAATGGCTCATGTTGAAGTATCCGGAAAAGTGATCCGTTTGAAGCATTAAAAAACAGCATAAATACATGAAATTGCAGTCTCGATTTGATCGAGTCTGTACATGAGGGATAATGAAAAAGTGCATCATCCCTTACGTCCCCTAGCACCGGCTTAAATTCAAATCTAAATGTTAAATGTAAGCTGTGCTTACTTATGCTTAATGTCACACTTTAAGGTGAAATGTTTACTGGGCTTGCACATGTTGTGCTCAGTTTATTAAATTAAGCTCTGAAAAGCGTTGGTTTGTTGGCCAGGGACAGATTATGTTATAAAATAAGGTATAGAACTATGAACTTTGATAATCAATAATTTGAGGATTTTAAATGTGACAATGACCTACTCCTGTATTGCAGTGTATTTTCTTACAAAGAATTGTTGGCGTTTGATTTATAGGGCGATTGTTGCGGTGATTTTGCTTAAAATATACACGTACTATTTAGTACATACTCCTATGTATCAATTTTTACATCTTAACAATATATTGTTGATTATTTTTGTAATACAACGTCTTTTTTGATATAATAAGATTATGTTGTTTTTACAGGAGATGGCAGAAAATGCCTCAGATGAAAGTGAGGCAGATTATGAGCAAGCCAAGTTACGTGAGTAAACATTTGTTATGTCAGTGTACACACTACTGCGCAAAACATAACCCCCTTGCTCAGAGGTCAAGGTCATAGATAAACGTGCAATATCAGCAATTAGAAAATCTTATTTGGCTCATAACTCTGTTACGCATAGAGGGATTTAAAATTAAACAGTTTGGCATATGTGATGAGAATGATGAATGCAGTGTTTAAGTCACAAGAAAAGCATCCCAGCTCAAAGTTGAAGGTCACGCTCACACTTAAAGATCAAAGATCAGCAGTTTTTAGAAATTCTTGCCATACACTACCCTCTGTTATGCATAAAAGGATTGGTCCGTAACAAAAGAAACTGCTGGCAAAAGCATATACATGTAGCAGAATTAGTCCTTGATACACAAGCTTTAAAAATAATTGTATCGTCCGTAAAATATTACAGAGTTTATATTTATTCATTTTTATGCTCCAGTTTACACTTAACTGAAAAGAAAGTTCGTGCTTTATGCCTTTTAAATATTGAACAAACATTTCATCAAAAGTCATCTATCATCTTACTTCAAAAGGTCTATTTATTACAAATAGGTGTATGTGAATTAAACTGTGTTGCCCTGTTTTAACAGCTGTATTCATATCATTCGGTGTCCTAACATATATATAGCAGGGACATCTGTGCCTTTCAGATGCACTGTTGTCTATTAAAATTGATGACAAAAAGCACCACATAATATCGTATGTCCTTAAGATTAGGTGGGGTCTCTTCGCCTCTGTGGCGGATCTAGCTTATCACATGTCATAAGAAGTATTCATTAAGTAATTTATTCATAATGTCATTATAGTTATCTATTAAACATTGAACTTATGACAATATAATGATATAATATATATTCATTAATCTTTTAATTAATTCATAATGGAATAAGAGGTAAATACACGGCAGATAAGGGCCGGAAGGTGTTACCCGCAAAAATTAATAATTCCCTTGTTTTTTTTGCATAGTGAATAATGACCCTAGGGCAGATAGTCACTTTTTGGCCCGTCTCAGATGTGCATAAATTGTCTTTAATACACTTAACTTGATAGTAATGCTAATTTGAATAAGATCTACATTAATAATTCTGTTGTTGAAATTCGTATCTTTTTCTGTACAATAACTCAAAGAGTTGCTTCCCTTACAAATTTCACTACTGTAGAATCAAGTTTCTCAGAATAAAAATTACGCTTATGATATCATCCTTCACTCATATGATCCATGCTTAAAATCTACTTTCACTTTACAGCTAGGGGTTTTGATGACGTAATTAAATAAAATGTGACGTCATTTTTTTTCCTTCAATTTTTACATGTACTCGTGTAAACTCATAATAGGTCACATAACACTTTAAATAATGCATTTACAATTTTGTTTCTATATTTTGTAACAAGTGTATTCATAATAGTTATATACATGAATTATAGGCATGACATAATGGTTGATAATTAAACATTACACTTATTATGCTTATTTGACAGCAAATATATGGCATGTGCATTCCCCAAAAGCGTGAAATTTCCATTCTAATTGTCAATTGTGGTAACAAAACAACTCTTAGGTCTGGTAAGGAATAGTTTACCATCATTGTGTAATTGTTTTGTTTGTTCATGGTTAAAAATCTGTGAGTCACTCACAATTGGTGACTTATCAGGTTATATTATTATTTTAGAATGGCAGGGAGAGATGATAGCATCATACTGTAAGAATTTGCTAAAAGTACAAGCAATGCCTCTACTACCACGAGGTCAGAAATGTAGCTTCAGTGAGATTTATGTTAGGCCCACTATAAAAAGAGAAATAAAAATAGAGAAAGAGGAGACAAAGGAAATAATGGTCAAGTCAATGTCAGAAATCTTCACAAAGAATGGTGTGCCTTTAAGAAAAATATATGTTCTTGGAGATGCCGGATCTGGTAAGAGTAGCTTCTGTAAATATTTGGTCAACTGTTGGTGTATTGCAAAAACTGATGCACAAATTGTAGAAGATGAGTTTGATGGTGTAAAGGAAATGAAGAAATTTGATATCATGTTTTATATCTCGCTAAAACATAATCGAAACATAGACAGGGTCCAAGATATGATAAAAAATCAGTATGATATCGACATTTCAAGCCCAGTTCTCAAAAAGAACTCTGCAAAGATTATAATATTGCTTGATGGCTTAGATGAATGGTCTTCTGAAAGAAAGTCCTACCATCAGTTCCAGACAATGAGTCTCCCAAAACAAGATGTAAATAAAGACTACACAGTAGTAACAACATCACGGCCATGGAAAGTTCACACCTTTGGAATAAATGAAACAGAGATTGACCAATTATTGAATCTGAAAGGGTTTGATGAGAGATGTGAAAGGGAACTGATAGATAGAACAGTCTTGCAATTAAATTCCAGCAGGAATGCTAGTAAAGATGCCAAGGTTTGTAAACAAAAGCTAGAAGAAAAGTCTCTGAAAAAATTAAAACAGTTACCAATTTTGCTACATTTACTGATTTGTCTATGGTTTGACGGTAAACTCGATAAAACCACAAGCTGTGCCATCTACACAGGCATGTTAGAGCTTTTCTTTACATGGAATGACATGAAAACAACTGGAACAAGTACTGGACACATAAAGGGTGCTCAGAAAGAAGATCTTCCTAAGTACTTAGCAGATAAAAACATATTAAAATTAAACAGCCATCTCATTTATGAACTCTCACATTTGGCTTATGAGACACAATTTAATTGCCCAAAAGATAAGTCCTTGACATTTGACATTCCTATATGTAATGAACTTGAAATATCAGATGAAGTAAGAGAAAATTGCTTGAAACTTGGAATAATGACAGAAGATGAATGTTTAAGATTATCTGTTTCAGAACCAACAAGCTCATTATTTTCTTTTATTCACAAGTCAATGCAAGAATTTCTGGCTGCAGTGAATATTAGTATCAGTTTCAATGCAAAAATAGGTTCGTCAGATAGTACAGATTATGTTGAACTAGCCAACAAATTTATTTTTGAGGTTTTTCGGAAATGTTCAACAGTAAATGACATGTTAGAGCAGTCAAATGTCGTAATTATGCTATGTGGTCTTGAACCTAGATTAGCAACGCATGTTTCAAAATACATATATGATACTGTTGCAGAAGACTCTCGTGTTCAGGATTACAGGAGAACAATAAGTAGTGACAATTATATGGATCATCGTTATATCACTGATATTCAAAAGCTAATGTTTGAGTCAATGGAAGAATGTATTGTTGGAAGTAATCCTTTATTTTTGATAGGAGATTTGGTCATCAATACACGGAGTCAGTATTGTGATATGGTTTGTTCAGGTATTGATCAGAAACAAATTGTTCCTGACTCTGTTCTGTCTATAAATGTAGGTTATACTAACACAGAAAATGTTAAACTGATAAAATATTTACCAATGTTTCATCATCTTGAAAAAATTAAAATAACATGCGAATCTGCATCTCCGATATTATTAAGTACACAAAGTAATAGACAGATGATTGATAAGCTTAACAATTGTATTGCCGAGACAATTAAAGTAAACACTTCAACATTAAAATCTTTATCTATAAGTGCTTATAACACTGGTGGGCATTACCCAGTGTATAAAACAGTTGTAAGTAACCTACCGAATATGATCAATCTTGTAGCAATAAGTATAAGTTTTATAACAATGAGTCATGATGATACTACAACATTTTGTAAGTTTCTTGAGGAAACCAGTCATCTTGAACAAATAGAGCTTGAATATGTTGAGTGTAAGTGTATGAAGCAGCATGATGTAAATTTATCAAAACATCAACAACTGCAGTACCTTAATTATGATCATTTTGCTAATGTGATAGATCTTGATTCTAACAACCTTGAAATATTTGGATTTGTGAATTTGAAAGAAAGTAATTATGAAAAAATATTTGATATTATTAGAAAATCTTGCAAATTAAAACAACTTGTTTTAATTGGACATTTTCCAATTAAATCTCAATCATATCATAACAACATAACAAAGAGACTAGGCAGAATATTACCATTGTTACACAATCTCAGTAAACTTGAGTTATGGTATTGCAGGTTAACTGACACTATAATACAGTTACCTTTAGAGCTGAAGAGTTTAAAGAACATTAAGCTTGTTCATGTAATAATGAGTTTGACACAATGGCAGAAGTTTGTTGATAGTCTTCCTGGCATTCCTCATACTGTAAATGTGAGTGTATGGAGCTGTTATATAACAGGAGATGGTGAGAAGGTTAATGTTGATATGTTAACATTAATTTTACAAGGACTTTGGGGAGGGAAGGGAAATGATGCTATACAGTATGTCAAAGATCAGTATCAGATATTTCATGTTAAAAATGATGATAATCATCGGTTTGACTTTTCAACAAAACAGTTATAAAGCATCAACGTAGTTACATAGTGTTTCTGTCTTGTGCCCTGTCCTGTTTTTGTTTAGGGTCCTCCTGGGCTCCTTGCCGCTGGCTCTTGTTGCTGGGTCGGGTGGGGGTTACGTTCATTGAACGCCGCCTTTCCTTGTTGATCTTGTTTATCATATTTTGTACTAAATGTTTTTTAACCTTTTCAACAAAAAATTGGTTTGAATATTTAACATAGTGAGATAGTACTACATACAGTTAGCATAGTGTTTAATCGAAATTAGTTTTTCATTTTCATAAAAAGTGATACTCATGAAAAGTAATTTACATATATTGTTGTAAGGTTAGAAAATAAATATATTACATTAAGAAAGAATATAAATCATCCGAAATATTTATTACTTGTCATAAATTTAAACAAAATGTATTTATAATATTGAATTTGTAGGAAGTATTTTTCAAATTGTGTTTATAAATACATAAAAGAAATGCAGAGAAATATAATTGATATATTGACCTTAATAATCTTAAGGTAAAAGTTATTTTTAAAAATTAGGGATTTTCTGTAAATTCAATAAAACAGATATTTGAGTATACGATTAATAGATAAGTAAATGAATTAATGAATTAGTGAAGTTAATAAAAAATATCATAAGTACAAGGTTAGTAGGAAGATGATGTAACTTAGTAGGTTGAAAAAGTAAAATACTTTATTCATAATGCTTTAACTAAGATCATTTCTAAGCATAATTGGTAAACTATTTACTTAAAAATACTTTTTATGGTAAAAATAGAAAGTCAGACAGATTATAATAATCCAGAATTTGAAATGAGTTAGGGGTTGAAGTTGTTTTTATTATCATTTAACAAAATGTTGTTTTTATTATCATTTAACAAAATGTTGTTTCTATTATCATTTAACAAAATGTAATACTATGGATACATGAAAAATATAAAAAATATAAAGAGAATGATATATACATGCATAAAACAGTTACATGATATATATAGGACTAGGGAATGGTATATACATTGTATAATTACCAGTTAATGAGTTATATGATACATAGGACAAAGAAGTTGGTACATATAAATACCAGTTATATGATATATTGGACAAGGGGATAGTATACATGTAAATAAATACCAGTTATATGATAAATATATATAGGACAAGGGGATGGTATATATAAATACCAGTTATATGATTATATAGGACAGGGCTGGTGTATATAAATACCAGTTATATGATGTATAGAAGAAGTGAATGGTATATATAGATACCAGTGATAATATATTTTATGATATATAGGACAAGTGAATGTTATATATAAATACCAGTTATATTCGATATAGGACAAATGAATGGTTTTTATAGGACAAGGTAATGGAATATAAAAATACCAGTAATATGAGATATAGGACAGGGGATCAGTATATATTATTATCAGGGATATGATATATAGGATTATCTGATATATAGGACAAGTGAATAGTAAAAATGAATTTCCTTACTGTGAAGAGGACCATATACTTGTTATATTTTAGAGATTCCTTCATTGGTTAATATATATTCTATATTTCAAAGATTAAAAAGTGAGAAATATTATAATTATGCAAAACGATTAATTTGTACAAGTTAATACTGTTAGTAAGTACTACTCAAAGTGTATAGTTAAAGGGTCTCCACTGAGGATTATATTCTCTTGATTTTTTGACATAATAGGATGGTAGTTATGTTGTTGAGGTTTCATACTATTCATACTATTTGATGAAGATCTATTTCAATAACTTGTAAGGGACATTTCTGATTATTCGCTCACTTTTGTTTTTTTCAAAATACTAGTTATAAAATTATAGCAATAGACATTTATTGAAAAAGATATCTTTCTTGTATCATGTCCAACATTATGTATTTTCTAAATTGTAAATTTTTAGATTTTCTCACTGTATTTAGAATGAATAGATACAACAAGAAAATAACATCATACTGTTCTATTTGCGCAAAAATAGTATGGACGTATATTGCTTAATTGCTTAAAAACTATCTTATTTTTTCAGATGGTGGCATGCATATCAGTATAGAGAAATATTAACGATATATAACATTTAGATCTTGTCACTTGAAACTAAAAGAGAATAGTTTTTTTCTAACGGTTATGTTATACATGTAATACAATGTACTTTCAAACTAGAGGATGCTTTTGTAAAAAAGCGCATGTCTCCCCCACTGCTGAGAATAACTGTGAATGGAAACAGGAATGGAAATGGAGATAAGATAATGTAAATACCCGGTAGTCACTTCAATGAAGGCTGTCTATGGATGGTTTCTATTGTTAAGGTTGTATGAGAAGATGCTTCCTATGAAGTTTGAGGGTTGTAGGTCAAAAGGAACTCTAGTTATCATCCGGAAATGAGAAATTGACCAACGGTCACTGTGACCTTGACCTTTGACCTACTGACCCCAAAAACAATAGGGATCATCTGCTCTATAAGACTAATCATCCTATGAAGTTTGAGGGCTGTAGGTCAAAAGGAACTCTAGTTATCATCCGGAAACGAGAAATTGACCAACGGTCACTGTGACCTTGACCTTTGAACTACTGACCCCAAAAACAATAGGGATCATCTGCTCAATAAGACCAATCATCCTATGAAGTTTGAGGTCTGTAGGTCTAAAGGAACTCTAGTTATCATCCGGAAACGAGAAATTGACCAACGGTCAGTGTGACCTTGACCTTTGACCTACTGACCCCAAAAACAATAGGGATCATCAGCTCTATAAGACCAATCATCCTATGAAGTTTGAGGGCTGTAGGTCAAAAGGAACTCTAGTTATCGTCCGGAAACGAAGAATGGACGGACGGACTGACGGACGGGGCAAAAACAATATGTCTCCCCCCGAGGTGGGGGAGACATAATTAGTATGTTTTGGTTTGTCTGTCTTGATAGCATGATTGTGTGACTGTTCATAATAAAAAAATGTACAGAATTGAGTTGTGTAATTATTTGTATTTTCCTCTGCCTGTCTTGATAGCATGATTGTGTGACTGTTCATAATAAGAAAAATGTACAGAATTGATTTGTGTAATTATTGCCTTGATAGCACGATTGTGTGACTGTTCATAAAGAATTGATTTGTGTAATTATTTGTATTTTCCTCTCATACAGACTTTAATTAGGGCATACAACCTTTAATTACTTCCCTCGTTTATCTTATTAAACAAAGACTTAGCTGCCAGTACATTATACAAGTGGTTACAAAAGTGTTTGTTACTGCACGTTACATATTCCGATTGTTCTAAATATTGTGTCAGATCCGGCTGCATTATGAGTAAGCATGTACAGCCCCATTAAGTTTGCCTGGTCTTTCTATTCATATTTCGAATCCTTTAAGTTCTAAAACATGAATGCTGGCAAATCAAAAGAAATCTTCATTATAGTCCTACACGTGTCGATTGTATAAAATGCTTGCACTCTGGACATTGTACTACTAAAAGGTCCCTTTCATTTACACAAGATCGGTTCACAATATTTTACAGTAGCCCTTATTGTTTCAGTCTAAGCGATAGCCCGAGTACCAAAATCATAAAGTTTTTAATGCAGAATTAAATGGGGACAATACATTTGGCTGCATTGTCGGACCTTACTATTACCTATCTGAAATCTTCGAATTAATGATTCTATTGAATGCATATTTCATCTTGAACCTATTCACCGCTTTGTAAATGGTAAAACAAAATTCAAAATAATGCATTATCTGTCGCAAGGTGAGATAATAATCAGCTTTCAATTAATATCCTGTTCAGCCGAGTCAGACATTCGTTTACTAGTTTTGATTCTGTATCGCCTTCAGGTGTTTTAAAAAAGTGTGTTCGAATCTCGGCATGCCACTGTGCTCTGAGAAACAAGCAGTTCGCGAACCCGAGGAAAAAGTAGATGAAGCAAAAATAATATGGAACATTTAGAAAATAGAAATACCAAAGAAAGGGAAGAAAAACAGCTGTAGAGTTGGTCGAGTCCGCCAGTGCATGATGCTACAAACCTATCATAGTTTATGGTAATTTAACTAATACGTACTCGCTCTGCACTTTCTTCGTCCCTTGCATGCGTACTGCATTAATTACATAACTTAATAATATTACATAATATTCAGTTCTAAAAAGTTAGATAGATTTATTACGTTAACTAGTAATTTAGTTTGTATGCTGCCGTACTTGCCTATTTTCTAACTTAAATGAATTATTTCCATTCTTCAAAAAGTATATATTTATTCCTTAAGTACTTCTATACTTAATAATAATCAATACAAATGATGTACATACTAACATATTCTATATTACTAACTGAAAATTATCGGTTAAATTGACCAAAATATAATAAAAGCATACTTCATGTATCTTGCAGGGCATTAAAGCAACAAAAATGGACAGGCGGATATTCCCATCAAAGTTGAATTTTCTCATTTGTACATGTTCAGATTAGAATATTTAAGAATTAAAAGGCGTGGAATAAAAAGACAGAATTAAAAGGCGTGGAATAAAAAGACCTAAGTGTCAGTATTTACCCCTTTGAAATATTTATTGTCCTTATTTTCCCGACTTATGTCCGTAGTTATACTCCCGGATCCGTACTATCCCGGTTTTAAGAGGTAATTTATTTTTAATAACTAGCAATATCTCGGACACATGTTTGCCAAATATCCTAGTAAATAATTTTTAGAACAATTGAGTTTGGGTTATTGAAACACCAAAGTGCAAAAAGCGTCCGTAATTCCCCTACACTACAATATCAGTCATGCAGATAGTATGTAAACAATATCTTGAATTATGTCTTTACTTTTTTAAAAATCTTAGAAAGAAAACATTCTCAAGGTTAAATTTCTTAAGATATTTTGGCTCATCTGGAGCATGCAGCTTTAATTTATACATCATTAAGTCGATTAAAACATTTCATAAAAGACACAAATCAGATGTTTAACATTACCTTGTTTAGAATTGTTCATGTATGCTTCTTAAAATGTTTGCCACGGTTGTCGATACAAAAATATTCTGTACTTTTTCAGAACTATGAACTGCATAAGGTATATTAATGTTTAGAAAAAACCGTTTTCAGATCGTCATGGTTGAAATGTCTCCGAAGCTACAGGAAATATGTGGACTGACAATTTATGGCAGGTTATAATGATGTGATTGTTCATTCTCGTGACAGAGCTGTCTCTGGAGTTATTCACTTTATGCCCGGTTCATCACGATTAAATGTTTTTTTAAAAATTTATTGTTAGAGCAAAGGAGCATCAATGTTGAGGGTTTAAAAGTATGAGTAAATAACACATAACTATATTAAATTTTTAGCTTGTTTTAATCAATATTTATGTATTGCATTAATATGTTCTTAAAGGTCCAACAAGCGTCTTTTTACATTCCCGAAAGAATTTCGGGCATATTATGTTATACCCCCTGGCGTCCGTCCGTCCGTCCATTAGCAATTTGGTTTCCGGAGCATAACTGAAGTTCCATTTGGCCCACAGTATTAAAACTTCATAGGATGTTTGTCCATATTAGACAGAAGACCCCTTTTGATTTTGGGGTCACAAGGTCACTATCACCTTAAAATTGAAAACAGTTTCCGGAGCATAACTTAAGTTCTGTTTGGCCCACAGTGTTCCAACTTCATAGGATGATTGTCCATATTGGGTAGAATACCCCTATTGATTTTGGGGTCACAATGTCAAAGGTCACTATTACCTCAAAACTGAAAACAGTTTCCAGTGCATAACTTAAGTTCCATTTGGCCCACAATTTTCAAACATTATAGGAGGATTGTTATTTGAAGGAGGTAATACTTAATTTAATTTATAGCAATGCTTCATCCTTACTTAAAAAACAACAAAAAACACTTTCGGGCATATAATGCTCCGCCTAGCGGTACTCTTGTGTACACTTATTACTATATGTAGTAATATGGTTAACAAAATGGCATCGTTTGAAAGATTGACAGCACTCTTAATTAGACTACCCACATATTTTCAAGTAGTTCTTATTGCTTTAAGGTAGACAAGAGGGCCATGATGGCCCTGGATCGCTCACCTGACCTATCAACCGCAGCCAAGCAATGTCTTAGACAAGCATACTGGCCAAGTTTGATGACAACTGAGTCAAAAATGTGACCTCTAGTGTATTAAAAATGTTTTTCCATATTTGGGTAATGTGACCTAATTTTTGACCGAAGACGACCCATATTCAAACTCGACCTAGAAATCATCAAAATAACCTTCCTGACCAATTTCCAGAATATTTGAATCAAAACTGCAGCAACTAGAGTGTTAGCAAGCTTTTTCTATTTTTAGCTTCTGTGACCTAGTTTTTGACCGGAGATGACCAAACTTCGATCTTGACCTTGAAATCATCAAAACAACCTTCCTGACAAATTTCCAGAATATTTGAATCAAAACTGCAGCCACTAGAGTGTTAACAAGCTTTTTTTTATTTTTAGCTCCTGTGACCTAGTTTTTGACCGGAGATGACCCATCTTCGAACTTGACCTAGAAATCATCAAAACAACCTTTCTGACAAATTTCCAGAACATTTGGATTAAAACTGCAGCTACTAGAGTGTTAACAAGCCTTTTCTATTTTTAGCTCCTGTGACCTAGTTTTTGACCCGAAATAACTCATCTTCAAACTCGATGTGTATTTCATTAAGACAAACATTCTGACAAAGTTTGATGATGATACGATAAAAACTGTGACTGCTAGACTGTTAACAACCCAATTGTTGACGACGCACGACGACGGACATAGCCCAATCACTATACCTCACTTTGACCACTTCAGTGAGCTAAAAACCCGACAAATCAAGATCAAACGCTTTTCGATTTTCGAAATTATTATTAAACTTCTTAAAGAACCATTTAGAATCAGTAAAGAGTGATGGATTTTTTCTTTGATTAACCTATTTCCGCCCTATCTCAATAAAATAGATAAATACAGAATCCCTAACAAAAGCCCAACACGGCAAAATTGAAAATGTTGCAGGCTCGGTTAGTACCGCTCAAGCCGGTGCTAGGGGGCGTGAGGGATGTTGCACTTATTCATTATCTCTCGTGTACAGACTCAATCAAACCGAGTCTGCAATTCTTATGTAATTTTGTTGTGATTAATGCTTCCGAGGGATCACTTTGTTTCCAGAATTTTGATTGAGCCTGTTCATGGACGGTACTGGAAAGTGCAAGTTACCGTCCACGCCCCCTAGCACCGGCTTAAGCAGAATTCAACATTTAAACATGAAATAGTAAAATTTTGAATTTAGAAACATCCGCAGATGTGTTCATACGGCGGTTATCATGGAACCTTCAATGCGACACTTCCGTGCCATTCCATGAAAAGCGGTGTATGGTCCCCAAGTAATAGAAAGCGTGTGCCCTAAACGAATAAATAATGGGCGGAACTAAATAAAATGGAATTTTGAAAGGGGATCAGAGGTTATGAAGCCTGCGTATCACAGATAAGACGTCAAAAGACAAATTTAAAAAGCAGGCATCCTAAGGGTGATGCAACATTATTCAAGTAGGAATATTGGAACCACCCAACTAGAAAATGCCGAAAAGTTGAAACTAACAAGAATGTCGAACGACACATATACCCCCCTTTCTAGCCATTGACTCACATAATTGGTAATTTTATTAAAGAAACTTGCCAAAAATGGGTACATGGAAGTGTTCAATTATGGAA